AGGAGGTCCATTCTGTCACAAAGAAAGTGGTGTTACCCTCCTGGCTATGCTGCCTGGTAGAATTGAATGAGTCACAGATAAAACAGGTAACATACTGTATGTGTGCTTCTGTTGTGTTTGTGAAGGTTTTCATTTACCTTAGGTCATGGTATAGCTAGAAGTAGTTGGACACAATGAACTGAACTTGCTCTGTAATGTTGAAGACATTACAAGTGTTTTTTTTCAGTGCAGATCCAAGAAATCTCATTTAATAGTGTATTTAACTTTCTGGAGTTTAGTTTTAAAGAAACACTGTCAGTTTGCTAGGGCTGTGTTGCCATTTTTGGTGCCCTCCCCCCACCATATCACTGATGGCTAGGATGCTGGTAGCCGACTGCACAGCATTATGGGTTGCTAGAGTGCTGTTGGCCAGCTGTACAGTGTCACTGGTTGCTTGGATGCTGTTGCTTGCTAGAATGCTGGTGGCCTCCTGCACAGTGGTCACTGGTTGCTAGGATGCTAGTGGACAGCAGGACAGTGTCATTGGTTGCTAGGGTGCTGTTGGCCGACCGCACAGTGGCAATGGTTGCCAGGATGCTGGTGGCCATCTGTCATTGGACGGCCATCTGCACCCAACAACGAATGACACTGTGCAGCCCAGAGGCTGAACATACACAGGGCTGAACATGCACACTCTGAGGACACTCTCACCCTGGTGCCAGACCCCCCCCCCCCCCCCCCACCCACACAGCGAGCCTCCATGAATGCCACCTGAGCCAGCCACCTCAGTTGACCTCATTGGTAGCACAGTCCTGACTTTGCCCGTTCAAATTGTTTTAAATGTTTGTGACTCACTTCCTTTTTTCACTTAAGTTGCTCATTACAGTTTTATAGGTTACAGGTCTGATCAACATTTTATATGTTGGAGTCGTAAAAAAAAAAAAATACTGAATGCAAGTAATAGCAGAAATGGATTAAACGAAAAAAACAAAAAAAACTGGCATGGGTGGCATTTGATTAGATAGACATGAAAATAATGTGCTTTATTTTCTGCTGGTATACATGAGTTATTGTGAGTTCAATCATGTGTTGTCTACCCAGCTCTATAAATCAGTTAAAGGTGACTTTGTTCTGGGCTTCTGAAAATGTAATTGCGTTTCCTGGCAGATGTTAAAATGAACGTCAAATCATTCTACGTAGGATCACCTTTAATTCCTCTTTTTTTTTTTTCCTTTTTATTTGGCTGCTCTCCATTTTGCCATTTTGTTGGTAATGATCAAGTTGCATTTTCAGATACATTATGGAACAAGACGACGGCACTAATTGTCGTAAATTTTATTCGTTCTCTAAACATTGTCAGTACATCAGGGCATAAAAAATTTAAGTGAAACTATTTGGTTGCCTGCCACAAAACCATTCTAAATGATCTGCTGGCAATTCCTCCTCCCGCACTTGCCTAAAAGAACAACATATGTAGAATATGGAAACAATAAACGTACAATCAAAGTCTTTTATGTTGAGCTAATTCAAAGGCCATGCGTTGCATGAAGTCTAAGGGGATTTGTCATAAAGCAAAACACCTGTTTGAGAACGAGCTGATGGAAGCATTTCCTGCTTGTATGCTACTATGCATACTAGGGATTTGTCCAGCCCTGATTTAAGCATCTATGTCTGTATACATGAATTAAAAATGTTTTTTGGACCCTTGGTTGCATTGGTGCATTTAGTGCAATTCAATGAAAATGCTGAAAAGAGTACAGCAGGCACCTTGTAGTCATTTGGAAACATTTATTCATTATTAGCTGTGCTATCCCCAGCCCCTGAAGGGCTGTTTATTATCCCAGACACCCCAGTAATATTTAAAAACACTGAGGGCCTTATCCACTAGATGCTCTTGGAATGTTCCTATTAACCCATTCCAAATGTATAGACCAGCGTTCAGCGTTTCTCAACCTTTATTTAGTCATGGCACCCTTTAAAAGTATGCAAAATCTCGAGGCACCCCAATCTAAAATGTCATGGATTTTAATGGGGACCCCATGCAAGAACACACAACAGGGGTGTGGAATTCCTATCGCCCGATGCCCGGGACATGCAGTTTCGGGCGCCGGGCGAGTAGTTTTTTTGTACACTTAGCCCTGCTCCGGACAAGCAGAGCTAAGTGTACAGTGTGGAGCCGCCGCTCGTTTTCAAGTGATCTGATCACTTCTATAAAATTATAAGCGGCGATTCTGTCCACACCCCCCCATGGTTTTTGGGGTCCTCCGCTCCTCTGCCGGACCCGAGACCACGGAACATGAGCTCACCATAGAGCCCGCAGAGCAGACGAAAAACGTCCGTTTTTCATCTGCTCTGTGTTATCACTGAGACCGTGGCACTGTGATCACAGCGCCACCTGTCTCAGCTGTCAGGAACTGCACAGAACATCTGTTCTGTGTTGGAGGGCAGATTCCATGAAGAGAACCTGTCACCTCCAAACTATAACTTAGAGGATTTTAAATCCCTATGTGATAGGAATAAAATTAGGTGGGGGAAAAAAAGTAAAAAAGTAATAAAAATAATAAAAAAAAGTTATGAAAAAGTAAAAAATAATTAATTATATTAAAAAAAAAAGACAATGTAAAAAATAAAATAATAAAAATGAAAACCAACCCTGCTGCCCCCGCCATCTGCATGCAAATAAACGCACGCATAGGACATTGTGTGTGTGCGTTGAGTGCTGCCGCCATTTCACTGTGCCATATTGTGGTAGCGAGGCAGCAGAACTCTCCCACACGCACAATGTGCATTAAAGGGCAAGTTCACTTTTCCAGGTAATATGGGAAAATGGAATTACCCGATCAAATCTGGCCCCCGTCTCTCCCAAAACCCCCCGGCTATACTTACCTTTCGGTAAACAGTCCTTACCCTCGGCCGGTACAGGTGTACTGTCCTTACCCGGTACTGTCCAGCGCAGTCCTGCCCTATGCATTTTGAATTTCGCTCGCAAATTGCAAGCACTCATTGGTCAGCGTGGTCTGGGGACCACGCTGACCACTGAGAAGCGCTATTTAGCACAGACAAATACAGTTTTGATTAGGGATACAGAGTATTTGGGCATGCACAGATACAGGTATTTTGGAAAATGAAAGCATGTAAAAAACATGGTGCAATACATATGAAAATACACGAAAATGCACAACATACTGCACAACACGGGAAGCACAGTGCAGTGTGGTGTGAATATTGTGTTGAAGCTTGTTAAATCTTTATAGGCATTGGCAAGCTTTAACAAGTGTTTTAAATGTATTAGCCCTAAGAGTTTGTTTTAAGGGTTATATGATTTTTTTGATGTAATACATTGTTGTCGGTATCTGCCAAAAGAACACATGTGGTAAAAGTTACTACTGCCAAAAATTGTCTGCCAAAACTTCTGGTACAGAAATTCTGCTCCTGAAACCATCACAACTGTTTTCAGTGACTCTTTAAATCCCCCCCTCTCTCTCTCCTCCATCCCTCTCTCTCTCCTCCATCCCTCTCTCTCTCCTCCATCCCTCTCTCTCTCTCTCCCATCCCTCTCTCTCTCTCCCCCATCCCTCTCTCTCCCCATCCCTCTCTC